TTGAAAAATAATGTGTTTTTTGAACATTAAAGCATGTCAACATATTCTGTTACACCAAATACACAAAATAATGATCTTTAAAATAGCATCATATGACCCCTTTAAAAAACCTTGGAATTTGTAGGAGGTTCTTGAATCATAGTCTACCAATAGGTTGCCATTCCTGGAATATGTGTTAGAGATTGTGGTTTAGAAAACCCAAAGAATCGTCCTATCTCCCTTCTCTTTACACTGCAGAATACCAGTACAACACCAACTTGATCTACCAGCACAAATTCTCCAAGGACTCTTTCATTGTATGTTGCAAACACAACTGAACCAGCTCATTAAGATCTTCAGGAGCACTTCAAAGTTGGATCTAAACTCTGCAGGTAGGTAGATCTCCAGAAACAGGATTGGGCACCCCTGGGCAAGGGTGATTCCTAACACTTGAACAAACCTTGGCTTTCCTGTAAGCAGTGCAGAGTTCTTAGCACTGTTCTTAACTTAACTTCTTTAACCGTACGGTGATTTAAAAAGTAGTTCAATAGTGACATTGTGCATGTGGCAGTTTTCTGTTACAGAAACCAAACTGAAGTGGCCTCAGGTATAGCAATAGAAATAAATAAATTCTAGAAATAAATTATATTCATGACTGGGAATCTTTCCTTGTGTTCATGTGATTAGACTTAACTTACCATCCCTACTCTGCTGGTGAACTAATAGAACATCAGCTTTCTCTAAACTTAGCTCATCTGGTTGCTGGGCAACAAAGGCTCTGATGCACTGCATTTGTGAAAAGTCTGCAAATGGAAAAAGAGAACATTTTAAATTATAAGCATTAGAATATTTACTTTGACTCTACAATTTCTTTTAAAGCAGGAAGTGCATATACCCTGAACTGCACTGAAGTCAATCTCGGGATAAGGTCGAGAGAGTGCTGATATCCAGCGCAGTTTATTGGCTCTGAGAGATGATGCAAAATGAGAGATGGGTACAGATTACAATATTCTGCACAACCAGATTGCAAAACACAAGACTGACTGGCTGAAATGAATTTATGCTGTCCAATATGGTTTTCCAAGTGAAAAAGTTTGCAAATGGGGAAACACTACAGCAGGGGTGTCCAATCCGTCTCCTGGAGTGCCAATGTCCTGCAGAGTTTAGCTCCAACACACCTGCCTGGATGTTTCTAGTGATACTCAAAAGCAAGTCCAAGTGTGTTTAATAAAGACTAGAGTTAAACTCTGTTGGAACGTGGCCCTCCATGAGCAAGACTGGACACCCCTGCCCAACAGGGGTGCGCACATGGCAGCCATTGCATGTTTACAAGATTGCAACAGCTTTTGACTCATAAATAAACATACACAATGACATACTTACTGTGTATCTGTCCGCAAGAGCAGGGCTTTTTGCGGTATGTGCAGATGGAACAGGTTTTTTTGTAAGGAATGCAGTTTGAACTTGCAGTTCTCAACCCGCAGCTCTGACACAGGTGCATGGTCGATAACTGTAAACCTACCCCCTCTGCAAACAGGAAGTTAAGCTTTAATCGCACCATAAAACATAAGGGATCATTTACATTAAAATAAAGCCTGATTGTATTTATCAAAGAGTAACAATGACAATTGAAGTATGGATGTAAAGAGCGCCAAACATACTCTTTCCGCAAAGAGACCAGGAGATAGTCATTGAAAAGGTGCATATAAACATTTCTCTCTTCTTCCCTGTCTTTTAGAGAAAAGTCTCTCAGTTCAGTCACAGGTCCCTCTCGTACCAGTCTGCGGGACTGACTGATCAATGGAAGAGTCTTAAGAGACACAAAATAAGTCATTATACATTTTGATTATTTAGATGGCATACAGTACAAATTAGGTTCCCAAACATATGTCATGCTCACCCTGCACTCAAAGTCAACTTTGGCATTGAGGGTCACAAGTGACTCAATGTTCTTCATTTGAGAGATACTTTCATTACTGTCCTGGATCATCTGTTAAGAAGCAAGGAAACATTGGACAGTGGTGAGAGAGAAAACTGGTAAGAAATTCCAATGCAGAGATGTGGGTGACATAACTACATTGTTCCAAATACATAAAGAGAAGTCTCACCTTCTCAAGTAGTTTCATTGCCTTAATGGCCTGTGCTTCATCCTTGGTTTTTGGAGCAGTTCTCTTTACAATATTCTACCAACAAAGACAAGAGAACAGAGAGCATTCAAAATACAGCATGCCATATTTGTGACAGGAGATGGATGACATCTAATATCATGTAATATCAATATACTATTGGCCAACATAGAAGAAGAAGGCAGGGCACAAATTTCAGAGGTCAAAGTCAAGGGAAAGAGCTCCTAAGAAAGTTAGAGAATGTGACATTAAAAAAATGTGCAAGGCAGAACAGGACCGAGGAAGACCGTACCTGCACAAGCAATTTGAGGCGTGTGATTCTTTGAAATGGCAGAATGAGGAAAGACCGTAGAGGCAGTCGTTGACAAACAGGGTTACGCTCTAACTTTTCCACAACTCTACGGAATTCATGACTCTCCTGCCTACGAGAGATGGTGGAATGAAACAAAGAAAACGTATGGACAAAAATAAAATAGGAAAAGCACTTTTCCACTTCAGATGAGTGCAAACAAATACTCACATTAATCTTTGATACGTCTTGTCCTGATATGATTGGTTGGTAAGGTATGGCACATACACATTTTTGAATCGTGGACAGTGTTTGATAATGGTGTCACAGACAGTAAAGCGCATTATGTCGTTCTCCACTGCTTCTTCCAGCTGAGACAGAAAACTGAATGAAAAGAAGCATATATTATTGACATAATTCAGATTTCAGAGAAGTCATTTTAGCAATGACTCCAGGATGTTGTCAGAGCTAAACCAGAACACGATTAGACGTGAAGAATTCCTACATATTTACGGAGTCTTAAAGTTATTTCTTATGGCATCAGCAGCACACATATCTTTATTAAAACTAAAATGTATTTTTCTTCAGTAATTCTGTTTGTTTAATGATATGATTCTAACCTGTGACTGATGGCTCTAACATCATTTAGCCTGGAGAACAGCCAGTTTTTGTCTTGTGAAGACAGGATAACGTTGAGCTGTTTGGACATGACAAAGTTCTCCACTACGATGTCCAAACTGCGGCAGTATGATGCCTCAGAGGTCACGACCTCAAACCTCACCTGAAAAAGACAGAGACTCTTCATGATGCTGTCCTTACTACTAAAAACAAATATCTTTTGAAGCACAACATCTGTTTATTGCAAGACAATTCATACCTATTAGGACCGCAATGTCCCATCAAAACCTGTTTCTGTCTCAGAGTTAAAAAATCAAGTTAATTGTGACATTATATATCAAAATTTTCAATTTCTTTTTTTACAATTACAATTTAAATTGCAACTTTATATGTTGCAGTGTTCCTTTATATCTCAAAATGAGACTTGAAATCTTGCAGTGGAGACTTTGTAACCCGCAACTGAGATTTTATATTTCTCTCAGTTGTAGTTTTATATCTCACATTGTTACATTATATCTTCCAAATTACTTTTTATCTCAAAATCTGGCATTAAATCTTGCGTTAATGAATTTTAAACAGCCCAGTTGCTGGGTTTGTCCCTATTTTACCCAGCACTGGGTTGTATTTAACCCAGCATTTTTTTAGAGTGTGACTTTATGGTGACTTTTCTCACAATTGCCTATATATTTCACAATTGTGGTTTTATACCTCACAATGTATCTTTACATGTCATTCATAAACTTACTTAAAAAACTGTGCATTTAATTTCATTAGATAACAAAATGTCAGCCTAAGTGGATTCAACATTCTTTTCTGTAAGTATTAGACTTTTCGATTTTTACAATTACTTCCAACCTCCAAGATCCTTTTTAGTGGATGTATGAGATGTTAGTTCCCCTTAAGATTTATCCCCTCATTGTTTTATCATTGTGAATTGTTTTGTTGAAAAGTGAGCTTGAGCTGTTTTATTTAAAATAAATGGCACTTGGTTTGAAATGTTATTATTTAGTACAATGACATTCACTGTTACCGCTTTTCCACCGGGGCTGGTGCCCGGAGCCAGAGCCCAAATGGGAACCAGGCTGCGGTTTTCCACTCAAAAAAGTCCTGGGCTGGTGCCCAGATCCCGGTTCCGAACCAGCCCCGAAACCTGGCTGGTCTCGAACAAGGGAAGTTATAACGTCAGTATGCGGAGTTTCCACTACAGACTACAATTTGAAAGATGCCATTTTTAAAAGCCAATGGAGTTCAAATAAATTAACAACATAAACAGCAACAATTAAACATGTCAGTTCAGCAGTGGTCGTCAGAACAGATCAACGCTCTCCTTCTGCAAGAGATAACAAGCGATTCTGGTCACATGTTGGTGACGTAGAGGGTTCTGCTCCCTGCCAGTGAAAACGCGAGCCGGTTCTGAACGAGTGCCACTCTTGGCCGAGCATCAGCTCCAGCTCTGGCACCAGCCCCAGTAGAAAAGCGGTATGTGTTGTATGCAATGTTTAGTTGGGGGACACTGAACAATAATTCTACCTCCTGCAGACGCCTCTCATCCTCAGTAAGTTCCTCCAACTCTGGGCTTTTCCTCACTCCAGGGAGATCCTGCCACAGTGTGGTTGAGGAAGCAGAGATGGACAGGCGAGGGGACGAGGGTCTGTTTATGGATTGCTGAGGCACATTAAGACTTTTAAAGGAGTTGGTTTTGGACAGAGTGTGGGGGTGTAGGAGGACCTGAGGGAGAGGCGGGAGAGGTCTGCTTGATAGCTTAGGCGACTGATTTGGAGAGGAAGATGCACTTATTGATAGAGAATCAGAATGAGACAGCAGGATCTCTCTATTCTGGACCACGTCACTGTATTCCTGATACAACTGAGAGTCTGCAAGAGAAAGAGAAAGAGAGATAATCGATATGGTTCTAGAGCTGTGCTTCTCAGTTGGACCCAGATTTTACTATGGATAAGAGAAACCAAATTTTTTGTCACACAAAAGTAAACAAATGTCCTTGAAATCAAGCAATGGCATTAATTAATATTAGCATTAACTACATAAGCAACCAATAATTTGCACAAAACACATTGTGGTTGGCAGAAACCAACCATGTTTACTCTCACTGCAAGTGATCCCGTATTTAAAGAAGCCGTTTTTTTTTCATGGTTTTTGAGGATAAGTGCAAATAGTCTATGCTGGCATCTGGATAATTTGGCTAGATTTTACCAAAAAAAAAGTTGTCAGAAAAGTTGAACTTGCATAAAAATCAACAAATAGTGTATAGTCTCTTCCCTTTAAAAATTTACTAAGTCAATTAAAAAAATGAATTTGTTTTATCGAACTATGCATGACTTTAAAATAACATTAAACGAACCATAAAATCATACCTAGTTAATAATAAAATTAAACTAACCATAAAATCATATCTAGTTAGATACAGCAAAAAGAGCAGAAAAAGGGCTAAACCAGTCTATCCACCAGTTGAAAATCATTAAATTAGAGAAAATTACAAGAGGTCAGACAGAGATCAAGTCAGAAAGACAAAGGAAGCGAACAAGTACAGCAGGTCAGTGAATCAACAGGGCAAAAAAACAGATGTACAAGCATGAACATCCACAAAAGCATTTTTAATACTAAGTGAGCATTTACAGTTGTTTATCTGCAGTTCCGAGTGATGTGCAAGCACAAACCTGTTCCTTGCCTGAAGGACTATAAGCAGCATAGTCAGGAATGACAAAACTTTCCCTGCTCACATCTGGACTGTAACCACTGTAACCACCCATGTATTAAGAACCATGTATTTCATAAATTTTACAGGCAGTTACAATCATATTGTGTACACTACCATGTGTACATAAGGGTGTGTGTGAAATTGGGATTTGCATGACTGGGAATTTTATGTGTCTTAGTAAAGTTTTCATGCATTTTAAACATTTTAAAACAGAACTTTTTATTTGTAGTCTGTTATAGCCATGTACATGTCCATGTAAATATCAGCAATGTGTTCCAGATAAAGACAATACAGAGACTTACTAAAGAATTTAGAATTCCTCTTTCTTGTCCTCCCAAGTTTCCTAAAAGTAAGAAGGAGAGAGAGCAAATGACATCTGTGATATAATGGTCATTTGTAAGGCTGCCAGTGGTGATTGAATGCTTATAAAGTTACATTACCAAGCCAAACCAAAAAGGAGAAGCATGCTATTGTCATGCTATCATTTCCATTTTTTGTTCTTTGAGATATTATACCTCCTAATCGATGAGTTATAACTTCAAAACTAATTGAACTATCAACTGAATCATATTAGATTAGTCCTAATCCAGATATAAGATTATAGAGCATAAATTGAGCTAATATGTCAGTCACTTTGAACCTTGCTGTGTGCTTGCAGTATCAAGCAAACACAGTAGTTTTCAGTTACAGACATCATTGTAGAAATTCACTATTCATAATCAGCCACAGTTAATTCTGTGTAGCAGAACCATGGTTCATTTGTGGTTACCGTGGTTTCTGGTTTGATTGGTAGTAAAACAATGGTTAATATTCATAAAGGACATGCAGTATACATGCTGTAAAGTCTGGTTCTCCTACCTTAGATCCATTTCACTCCAGGTAAAACATAATTCATCCTCTTTATCATCTATGCAAACAAAATACAGCAAAATCAGCACACATCACAATTTTTTTTTTTTTACACCTTAAGCTTCCTTTAACCAAGATAAGTAGCACATCATCTCAAGCAAACCAGATAGGGATGATTCTACATAGCCATACACAAGCTGTACACAAGAGAAGTGCCTCAAGCTTTCCAGTGGATAAATAAGATAGACTAGACCGTAAGATCTCTGGGAGTGGAGCAGTTCAATAGCTCTCAAGAAAATGTGGCAATAAATAATAATAACCCTAATGCAATGAAAAGTATGAAGAAAAAAACAACAGGAAAATGTACTGGGGGATGACTTGTTATGAATTAATAAGAATGGTGTAATTTGTGAAACAAAGGAAATCTGGCAGCTCAAAATTCTGTCTCTTCCAAGAAATTATGCTGTTTAAGGAGTCTTCAGCGGTCATGACTCCAACCCCCACAAGAATCCTCAGGAGCCCTCTGGAGCTTCCAGGCTATTAAAATGAGAATATCAAAAAGCTGGGGGAATACATTATTAGTTACTACTGTGGTATGAGAACCTAAAGTCTACTGCTTGTGTGGTTTCAGATTTCTTTAAAGTCCTGAGAATGTGTCTCTTAAAAAAAAAAAACTTTTTGATAGAAATATTTACTGTCATATATTACTGTAGAAGGGTAAATAAACATAATTTTAGTACTGTTCATAATATCATGTATGTGTATCTCTTGTCGTTAAATCCACCATTGACTAATTATGTCATACCCAGTCAATATGAATGAAAACTGTGAAGCAAAATGATAAAAATTGCTGGGATGTTTCATGCTCTCTTCATTCTTTAAAGTGTCTACGGTGCACTTGAACATAATCCACTTGAACATAAAGCATATTCAATAAGAAAAAAAATGTAGGGTAGAACTTTTCATCCATGTGCTATTCAAAAACATGTAATACAGCCCTGCATACCCTGGATATAATGATATACCTTGTCTGTCCCTAATATACTATACCGTTTATAAGGCCCTGCCATTAGCCTGAAGGGCCTTGGTGTGGTAAAGGAAGTTACTTCTGAGGTAGAGCGAGTAATCGCATATTATTTCGTAATTATAATGTTATATAACATTATAATAACAAACATTTTTGATGTTATTCCATGGCTGAGATTATAAATAAAGATCTCACAGTCCCATCATGACTGCCACAAGGCTATATGTGAATAGTTTTAACTGTTTATTACTGTTCAAATGTCAGGAATACTCATTTACATGACAGGAAAATAAACTATTTTAACGCCCATATTGACACTTATTTAGGGGAAGATGACTCATGGAATTCTGTTACATTATTGCGTAAGCACATTTAGACTCTCTACGTGACATTACACCACTGGTATATTAACTTTGATAGGATAGGTTCAATAGATCTCTCAAGACACATTTAGTTCTCTTCTCACGTGAGTGGAACTTAGGGGAGCAAGGGGGTCACTGAATGTCTGATTCAACCTTCTTATATTAGTCCTCCTCTCACCTGAGTTGTTGAATATTCTTGTCCTTCGGTCCCTTCCAACTCCTTCTCCCTCTTCTTCATCATCTTCCTCTTCTTTGGTATTCTCCACTAACTTTCGGAACCCTCGCCTCCTCATGCGAGCCTCATTCCCCAAATCTCGAAAACTACTAGAGCTTAGAACAACTTCCTCAATACTATCTTTTTTCTTAGATACTTCTTCTACCATCCCCTCTGCCTCTCCTTCTGAGGAAACCATGTGCTGGTTAGAACTAGGATCCAGCCAGTCATGTTTCTCATTCAACTCTCTCTCCATCCCTCCCTGTTGTTCTTCTCCTCCCTCTATTATTTCTTCCTCTTTCCTTAATTTGTCCATTTCTCTCTCACCCTCTGTTTGTGTATTGGTTTGCGTATCTATGTGTGTCACACTACCTCTTGTATTTTCTGCGTCCGCCGACTTTGGACCCAAGATCTCTCTCAGCACGTTCTTGGCCCATCTAAGGTAAGGGGCAGTAGAGCATCGCTTTCGTTCCTCTGATGTGCTCCATGAGTCATCTGAACCAAAATGCTCCACTGTGTCTCCGGTAGGTTCTTTTTCTCCTCTTTCTATTGTGTCTTCACTACGAGTCTCTGTAGCCCCATGACCATTATCCTTGCATGGCCCTGAAGTTTCAAAAGGCTCTGGTAGGAAAAGTTGGTTGTCTTGTTCGGTTTGCTCACTGGGAGGAATCATTTGACCTTCCAGTGATGTTACACCCTCTGTTGCCTGGTCATTACTTCCTGCACCCTCCACTTTGTCCTCATTAGGAGAAAGACTGAGGTCGTCCATCACTCTTTCAATGTCCTGTTCACAGTGTTCAACCCTTTCAAATGCTTCATTTACATTTACAGTGCTTATTTCACCTTGGTTGTCCATGTTATGACCTGGATGCTGATCGGCTGCCTCTTCAACAGTAGGATGTATACTTGAATTCTCTATTGTTTGTGAATTGGGAAGGGTCTGACCAATCACACAAAAGACTCTTAGGGGTCCTTTTGGAGCCACACAGTCTGCTCTTTCATTCACTGTTTGGTTTTCCAGTTCTTCATCTGCCCCAATCTCTCTGTCATGAATAGTTCCTGAGTGTCCAGAGACCGTTTCGGGAACTTTACCTTCCCAGAATTCTTTGCAGTCTTCAAAATCCTCTTCCTCTGCATCATCCCCTCCACTGGAAACCGTTACAAATCCATCATCTGCTGCCATCATTCTGTTCTTCTCTGCTTCTGACTCTCCCTCACTTCCTTCCTCATTGCTTCTCTGTTCATCTCTGACATTCTCTTCCATGTTGTCGGCCACATTCTCTCTGTTCATCTGCCACTCTGGTTCCATGGCTTTATCAGAAGCCATGTCCCCTTCCATCCTCTTCTCCACCCTTTTTCTGCCCACATCCAACAAGAACTCCCCGGCCCTCTCAAGTTCTCTATACTTGTCCTCAAGACTTTTGCTCTTGCTTGCTTTCCTTATCTCAGGCTCTTCTTCATTTCCAGTTGTCATGCTTTCTGTGTATCTTTGGATGTACCTCTCTCTTGCTCGCTCTCTCTCTGAGTACTCCTCTTTTAAACAAGATTCTTTTCTCTCACTACGAGGTTCCAGCCACATTTTCCTTATCCTGTTTTTAGGTTTCTTTGTAACTGCTTCCTCAGCAGCAAAGCTTTCACTCTTCTCTTCTTCTCTCAGTGTACTCCTTACTTCCTGCTCTTCCTCTGTTCTTCCCTTCAATCTTTCGTTATCAGTCTCATATGTGTTTTCTCTGTCTCTGTCCTCAAGGTTCTCTCTCATTGCCCTCCTTTGTTCAATCTCAATATCAGTTCCTGAAATCAGCTCTCCACTACTTTGTCCACTCTTCTCCACCTTACTTCTCCCTGTCTCTCTGTTTTCTTTCCTCCGCCTCTCCCTCTCATCAGTCTCTCTTTCAGAATACCTATCCCTCTCTCTTATCCTTTCTCCATCTCTATACCTTTCTCTTTCAGCTGTGTATAAGTAAGCATCTCTGTCTGTTCTTTTCTCTTTGGAGTCTCTTGTTCTGTCTCTTGGTTTATCTGTCTCTCCGAGTCGTTCCAAATTGTCCCCTTTTGGATCATGATAACCTTTCTCCCGGTAATCTCTTTCTCTAGGCATTGCCATGTCTCGCCATCTCTTGGCTTCTCTCTCTCTACGTCTGTCTCTCTCTCTAACTCTGTCTATCCTTCGCTCTGCGTCACTGTCTCCTTCACTCTTGTAGAGTTTGTGTCTATGTTTAGCATCTTCTTCTCTCTTCCTTTCCTTACCCCTGTCTCCATCACGGTCTCCTTCGCTTTTTGTATCTCTTTTCCTAGATCTCTCTCCCTCTCTCTGTCTATCAGTTCTCCTTTCCCTATCTGAAAAGCTCTCTGTCTCTCTTTCCATGAGTTGAGGATAATATCTGCCCTCTCGGTCTCTTTGTTGATGTCTGTCTCTGTCTGTCTCTCTTTCCCTCATGCCTGAAAGGTCATTGACCCCTGGATAACTTTCTCTCCTTCTTCCTCTCATTTCGGAGTCAAACTCCTTCTCTCGTTCCCTCTGTCTATCTGGCTCCTTCTTTACAAGCCTTCTCATTTCTATTCTCCTCAACTCCTCCCTGTATCTTGCAATTTCTCTTTCAGCCTGCATGTCCATGTCTCTGTATCTCTTCCTTTCCTTATCTCTTTCATTTTTATACAGTATGTCCTTCGGTCTTCCCATGTGACGTTCTCTTTCATAATCTGGAATTGGTATCCTTCTGTCTCTCACTCTGGTTGGTTTTGTCATCATTGGAAAAGTGTCCCCTTTTCTCCTCTCATTGTTTCGATCTCCATATTCAGCCTGCTCTGACACTGATGAGCTTCCATTTGCATGTCGATCTCTATTTCTCCACCTCTGTCTCTCTTTCCAGTCCACCTCTCCATCTCTTCTTCTGGTTGCAGGAAATCTCTCCCTCTCCCTAATCCCATCACATGAGTCTGGTTCCACTTCTTTTTCTCTTGTTCTGTCCATCTTTTGGTGTTTCCAAGTCTCTTCTTCACCTAGGTCCCCTTCGCCAATTACCTCAAGGTAACAGTTTGCACTTGATTGACAACCTGTCTAGTGCACTTTAAGAGGACTGTATCTGCACAGTGTATTGGATGGCCCAATTAATTCGACTGGTTTCCATGGCAACATAGAGAACCTATAAGGGAAGTCAAAATTCCAAGTCAATAAATCAAGCAACCATATAAAATTCATATTCCAAAGAGGAAAACTGTCAAACATATTCTGGGAAATCTTTAAAACTGTGGAGTATCTTGTTGAAACATGAAATATGTCTTGGCAGCTTAGACAGTTGCGACTAACATGGGCTTTTTCTCTCTCTCTCTCTCTCTCTCTTTTAATGTGTCAAGTCAAATGTTTACCATTAATTAATTTGGCAGTAGCTTATCTGAAGTGACTTGGATGGATTCAAAGTATACATTTGATCAGATTTTTATTCCCAGACAATTGAAGCCATGACCTTGATGTTTCTTGCACTATACTCCACAAGATAAATTACAGCAAAACAACAGAAATATCCTGTTCTTGTCAAACATGTCACTTCAAATCAGTCTAATTTACTGTTAATATGCATAATACACATTGCCATTTATTTTTTTCATTTATCTACTACTCTTAACATTAATGACAGAACTGTCATACTATAACATACTATAACATACTATAACATACTATAATATATATATATATATATATATACACACACAGAGTTGATATGCAAAACAGCCTGTTTGTCAGTTCAGCAAAATAAAAAGTTCAGTTCAAGAATGCAGTTCAACCAACCACTGCTCTATGCCATTCTTGTTTTGTGTTCAGAGGCATTTCAAGTAATTCATGCCCAGGAAGAGCCAAAACACTAGGGGAGCACTATTAAGGAGCAAGCAAGTCTTCAACATAGCTGACTCATGTCAAGATGTAGTGAATCATGACGCACAACAAATTAACATGAACAAATTCATTAGAAAACGACTACGGTGAATAGCTTAAACAGAAATATATTCTCAAGCATGACGATGCAATATTTGCCTGTGACGTGGACATGTTTGTTTACAAGAATTGTTTGGTTTACTAAAGTTAAATCAAAAAGGAAAGAATGAAAAGTTTTAGGAATAATGCAAGAGGACTCACCTGAGAAGTGTCTTGGGGGACGCTTCTCTGTCTCTCTCCAATTTTTTCTTTGCTTTATTGACAAAGTGAAGCTAGCAGGAATTGCACAACTCTCAGACATTCCACATATCAGTGTTTGCACATTGAGAGAACCAAAGTTGAGTGAGATAAATGCTCTACTGAAAACACTGATTTAATTATCCAGCCTGCCTCTGTCCTACTTAATGTGTTAATGTAAGTAAAAATAGTTTTCAGCTAAGTAAAAAGATTCTCACAGTGTTCCTCTTTCTCTTTCTCTGTTTCCCTCTCTCTCGTCCCCTCCTCCCGCCCTTCTCAAATTCCCAAACAAGTTTGAACAGATTGACACTTATCTTCCTCCCCTCCTTCTGTTTCTGTTTTCCTTTTACTTTCCCCCTCCAGCACTTTATTAAACAGGAGCCAAAAAGTTACCGTCTGTTCAAGCTCACACACAGCTTTTCTTCACTTCTCATAAACTCAGTAGACCCACAGTGATTGCGCTACAGCTTGTTCTAGTAATTCAGCCTTTTGCTCACCTCACTCTCACTGGCACTGCATGCTTCTCTCTCACAGAAACAGGAAGTGAACACATCTGTGCTGTGATTGGTGGGGTTGAAGATGCTGGGTGTGACTGTTTTCTCAGGTAAAGACATGAGAAAGAGTGAGAGCAAAGGGGGAGGGGCGAACAAGTATGAGTGTGTCCATACACAGTAATGTCATCTGCAGCTTACGTAACACAAAAGTTCTCCGAAAAAGCTGTAAAAGACAGTGGAGTGCAGATGACACATTTGCACATTACAAAAGATAAATTGGAAAACACCCTGAACAATGCATGTTTTTAAACTTTATAAATCTGCTCCTTTAAGATATTGCTTGCTCTTTTTGTGCAAAGCCTTTCAAAGTAGTTTTGTGCAATTTTGGTATAAACTTTTAATTTAAAATCAAAACATTTTTAAGTGATGAGTAAGCAATATTGGAAGCATATTTCGAAATATGAAGCATTTTCTTTGTACTCCAAAATGCTTGAGTTTAATTGATCATTTTGTATTGTATCTGCTGTTATAAATAGCCAAGTTTCCTGTCCTCATATTGAACCACCTGAACAAACTTAACTCCAGAGTGTGCTGTTATCTGAACGCAAACAAGTAGAACATAATAATCTAAACAAAACTGACACAATCAATGAAATGTCCTGGACAAAGGTTAGGAGAAATGATCAATCATCTACAAGCATGTTCTAATGTATGACAGAAAGGACTAATTTGGGAAGACTGCAATAAACTAATCAGATATTTCCAATGTAATTACAAAGATAGAGTATATCCTGAGATCCTAAAAGAAGAGCTAGCATCATGGCCTTAGTTAATTAGCTAACTAGTAGTCTATCACAAAACCTCATTGCAAGAGAACATTGTAAAACATATGCAATACCAAAACACATCTCACAAAAACTAGCGTACCTAGATTATTTTGTTATTAATACAAAGCTGATATAAGAATTAACATTGTCATGTCATGTGACAACCAGAATTAAAACACATAACTTAAACTATGTAAAGAATCTCACCAAACTCTGCTTGAGAATGAAAAACAGTTGTCATTTTCCAATAAATATGCACAAAATAGGGCCTAAAACTCTTACAATCTGTTTTTCCTTTTGTCTTTTTCAACAATTTGTCAGTGAAAATATGTGCTTAAACTTAAGAAACTGCTGATCATTTAGTCAAACAAAAGAGTAAACTCTTGATTTGTGAAATGTTGCATATATCTAGCAATAGCTAAACATACAATAATTTAAATAGATAAAACGTCTAAAATGAAACAGGTGGGGTCTTTTTTATTTTATAATTATCTATGGATGACCAAACATATCTAATAGTTATCATGACAAAAACATTATTTGTGCATCTAATGCTTTACATATATACAGTAATATATATGTAAAACTGTGGGTAAATGTATTATTGCATTGGTGGTTTTCAAATGCTCTGTGGTCAGCAAGCTATGAATGTTCAGACAGCTCAGTGAGAAACTGCTGATCATCAACTAAACGTGCAGTTTTGTCGTGCATTTTACTTCCACGATAAACTCTACGTCGAACACGACAGTTGACTGAGGCTAATCAGGAAAAACACGTCTTGTTTGGCTTTGAACTAGATCTACAGCACTAGACTTTAACTAAAGGCAGAACGCACTTGTTTGAGCAGCACTCAATATCCCATGTCCACGTGCAGCACTTCAGCTTCCGCCTTATGCACAGTCACATGTGGCGCCTGTTTAGTTTCACTTCCGCGTTTGAACAGAAACCATTAAATCCTTTCAATAATGCAAGCGTTTTAACGCGAATATAGTCAGAAGTTTGTTTATTCAATGTGTGATTGTCGATACCAGCGGACATTTTGACGTTATGTCGTTAAGTGTTGTTTAAAGACATCAGTTCGACAGTTTGGGAAAGAGAAGATCCCCAGGCTGGGTGGACACAACTAGACAGCTAATTAAGACCTTTACTTTTAGTTATCTACAGTAAACACGGTCATAGGAATCCCGAAAGGTGCATTTCTTTCATTTCATGCATTTTAAAGATGACAGCTTATGCTAACAGCATGTTTATCTGGTTTCCTAACTAAAGTTCTTCATTGCTTCATTGCTTACTTCAGCTTGGATCCATGCAATATAACTTTTGTGTTGTCTTGTCGTGTGTTCAGTCATATAAAATGAACATCACACCGGGGTTTTTTTTTTTTTGCATTACAACCAGGCTTTTGTAGTTTTGCCAGCAATTTGTAAACATGCAGATGCATTTTCAGCGGGTTTTATAAAATTCTATTTGCATAACAGTTTTGTCTGTAGTCTTTACAAATATGATTATATTTAAGAGCCACTGATGACTGTGGCGTTTCAGAGTGCAATTTTGTTTAAAGTTAAAATCTTTATCAGTTCTGACCAAAAAATATTTCACACGACTCGGGAATTAGTCTTTGATTTACTTGTGAAATATACATGTGTGTTAAAGATATGCACCATTCAAAAACTCCCTAGATACTAACTAATAGCAAAACAAAATGTTATCAAATGTGATTTATTATGAGATGCCAAAAGTAATTGGAATTAACCAGGAAAAAGGACACAGTTTGTCTAATTTGTGCTCTTCGCTAATCATAAAATGCTCTGTGCATAGTGAAATATGTATTATATGCATATCTTGTGTCAGGCTACTGTTACACTGCCCATGTTTTGGATGCATGCATTAGTCAATCGTTGAATAAATTCACTGACCATTTTTTTTAATGTAGTGCCCTTTTCCCATCAGGTGTCACCGCTGAAAGTCATGTTGCTGTCTCTGAGAATAATCATCACTCCTCTTTACGTACTACTTGCTGGAGTACAAGCGGAGTTCATCACAGACAACTGCAAGCTGATTTCACAGAGCAAGTCTGAGCAAAATGCGCTCCATTTACTGGAGCCTCTCACCAATCAAACGTAAGTCAGGTTTTTTTACAGTTAATCTAGCATTAATTCGGTTTGCAGGTTGTGCTGGTCTTGTTAATGTTAATAACGGTCTTCATATTCACTCTAAACAGCTTCACAACGGAAGGAAAGGAGAAGGATTTTTCGTATATTTTTCAGGTGTGTGGAGATGCTGGCGGAATAAAGGATGCAGGTCTTGTGCAGCAAGACAAAAAAGGAGGAAAGCTGGTCCGAATTGGGAACTACACCAACACACGAGCTATCAGAGGAAGTATGTTACATTGCTTGACCTTTAGAAGTGACGTTTTACCATTTGCTTTTTTGCTACAGGTAGACTTTTCTGAAACCGTTACATTCTTCGATATCTCTTTGAATTAATATTAAAATAACAGTTAATTCCGATTTAATTGTTATCAACGTTAATTTATAATAATGACTACTGAATTTTGGCAGGGATGCATTGCAAGAGAACATTGTTAATACAACCCGCATTAAAACACACATCAAAGTTCACTAAATTGCAGAACTTTTTCCAGGTGTTACAGGAAGCCTTGTTAACTCATTTTTGACCTTAGTTCTCCTTTTGTTCTTGGTGCAGGTGACTGGGTTCTGCTCTTCTATGAAGGGGGAGAGAAATACGACAGCCACTGTTCACAAGAGGCAAGAAGAGCCATGATTATGATTTCATGCAGCACAAGCACAACGATATGAACTTTTTAATGCTTTCGAAATGACACTTGGCATTTTTTACTTTATACCCCTACAATATTTAAATAAAATGCATCTGCTATTTTTTTTTAATGTATTTTTAAATAATTTTTTTTAGATCTGAAAAAGAATAAGTTTAGCGTTATCATTGATCCTCATAACAAAAGTATTAGTTGTATTTCTGTCAACACGTGATCCACGTCTATTTGATATACTGTTGATGAAAATTTGCTGAAAATAATGCCAAATTCTGTTAGTAGCATTAGTGCTTTATCATGCTTGGACTAAATTATTTCAGGTATTCAAGATAGCATAGTAGCTTTTACTCATCATTTCAACTCATTATTATTTCTTAGCTCTTATTAATTATTAATTTTGTGTGCATGTGTTTTGTTAGAATGCATTTTCAGTGGTTTTGGAGGACAATCAGAAGCAACAGGACTGTTATTACCTGTTTGAGCTGGACTCCAATGTGGTCTGTCCTGTAATCCCATCTAAACTCAGTACCGGCTCCATATTCCTTATTATGTGAGTGCTTTAAAGGGGAGTTCTAATGCTATTTCATGCTTTCTGACTTATTTACACTGTTAAAGTGTTGGATTCTCGTACTAAACATGACCAAATAAGTCTCAAAAAATGAGTTGGACGTATGACGGAGTATTTCTGTGCCAAATACACTCCTTCAGGGTTCGTACATGTTTAGGAAAGTCCTATATAACGTCATAAATGGCGGGATTCCTTGTATGGGCACGTCTCCCGGAAGAGTGCGCGCGCACATCAATCAGAGCGAGAGCAAGAGCAGCATCAACGTGCTTCATTCATTAATTCATTAGCCATATAGTTAATTTAAGTCAATAAAGTTTTTGTTCCCGTTTTATTTATATCGATGTCACAGCTTGCAGATGATCGTTATGCAAAAGCTGCGCTCTACTCTAGTCTGTAGCTACTCAAGATTAGCATGAGATTGGCAGAAACTGTGTGAGTTATGTCCGTTTTAAAATTCTCACAGGGGTCATCACACCATTAGAGACGATTAAGGAGAAACATTAATGTCTTTTGCTCATATTTTATATGTAATCATGTTCCTGTTTGCTGTCCATAGTGTATTCTGCTGCCTGGCTGTGTATCTCACTGGTGGATTCCTCTATCAGCGACTTGTAGTTGGAGCGAAGGGAGTTGAACAGTTCCCCAACTATACCTTTTGGTCAGAGACCGGCAACTTATCTGCTGTAAGTATAATTGCATATATATTTGTCTCAGTTCATCTTCTGCTTTGGTCTTTTTTTTCCCTTTTATGAAACAAATATAACTTTTTTTTTCCTAACAGGACGGATGCGATTTTGTCTGTCGTTCCCGTGGCAACAGAGAAGAACGGCCCACATACAGAGGCGTGGCTACTGAACCTCTTGGGGAGGAGCAAGAGGAAAGGGATGACCATTTACTTCCCATGTGACCAAATCACATCAACCAATGAGAAGAGGCTGGGCAGTTATTACGGTTTTGAAACCCAAAGAGAGATGTTCAGTTCAGCAGGCATGTTCCTATTTCAGAAGTGCTGCTGTTTTTTTGTTTTTGTTTTTTTGTATTTAACTTCCCAATAGCATGTATTCTTTATTTATCCTTTAAAATGTTGATTTGGTGTTTGTTAAATGTAAAAGTTTGCTAACTAGTTTTCAAAGACCCACAATTATATTTGCTAATTAGATATTTATAATAAGATAACATGATCAACATGCAACACTGCCCGTTTTATCTCTTTATAGGAAGTAAAATACATCAACGCTGCTTGACTGTAATATGGTCACCACAAAGATGTAGTTTGCTGTAAGTACTTAATTTGATTAGAATTAAGTTTTACTTGCAGTATGAACCCATGTTTGATGAAACTGAAATGTATTTTTTAAGCTTATGCTCCACCAACTCAGTTTTTTAATTTCAGAATTTCCATAAATTAACTAAAATTGATTGATTGAACTCACAAATATGCTCTGCTTTACATTCCAAATGGGCTATTTGTTGTGGAATGTTGTGTTAGTATAAAGAAGTTACAAGGATCTGATGAGGTGTACCTCTTCAGCCTGTTACAACCTATATGCCATGTTTCTGAATTATGTTATTAAAGATAACTCATAAAGGTTATTAATAAGATACATTTGAAGAAAATGATGCTTTCTATAAGATAAAAAGGTGTTCTGGGAGAGACCCATTTGTGGCACATTACTCTTGATAATAATTAATGAAACAACATGAAAGGAAATGTGTTTCCATTTGGTTGGTTTTCTTTTCACTTTGGTTACTTGTTATTGCAAAAGGTTTATGATTCTTTGACCGTGGGATCTATTTCATACGGTATAAATTACTGTAAATCCTCACTGGAAACCACAGGACAAATTCCAGACTATGACAGAGCACCATTATGTTTTTCTTTCACCGCTTTTGTACTGTGTACTGTGTGTTTGAATGCACTGAAGCTTTTTTTTTTTAGTGGAGTCATATATCTTCCCTAAACATAACCATGTTCTTGAGGAGCCAAGCTCATGAATGAGCTTAAACACTCCTGTTTTTGAGGTATATAGATCATAGCCTTTCAACTGTTTAAAGAATCAGGAGGAAGAGAGCTAATGGTTATAAATCCAAGCCATAAAAGGTGCTTTTGGTCTGTGTATAAAAGTCAGTTTGAGGCTCCTTAAAAAGCACTTCTAAAGTATCAGATTGAAAATGCTGGTTTAGCTTCTGCTTTAACTAAAGTCCATATTAATGGCAGAAAGGTATGATGCATTTGGCTTGATTCTGATGTACTGTTCTTCATGAGATACAGGCCTGTGCAAAGAGGTGACTTCACTGTTCTTGCTACTGCTTTATTGTTCTGTACAATTTTAGTATGAAAAAAATATTAATTTTGTTTGCTTTGGAATTGTTGAGGAGATGGTGTGAATAAAGTGTTTGATTACTGGTGTGTGTATGCACTTGTGTAGTTCTTCACAGAGTTTACATTTTGCTGTCCTAGAGAAAACTGGTGGCTTCTGGATTGCATTAAAGCTTTAGAACTTTGAACTGTTCTTTGAGCATTTAAAACTCTTTGACCAAAACAGGTCTCCACACAAGCTGGTTAATTACACATTCTCAATTTCTTCATGGCCTCTATTATCAGCATAAAGTTGCAGGTTATACATTTTATATTAGTGGCGTATATGCCATGTTAGGTGAAAATTAGTATTTTATTACACATAAAATCTGTTATTTTATTTTCAGTGCCTAAATGAGACAACTGGCATTAGACATTATTAAAAAAAAAAAACAGAGTAAATGGTGGGTTTTGTTTTGTGCCTGTTAAATTTGCCATGATACACCACTTGGGCTCCAAGTTGTCCAAACTGTGGTTGCTGTCTGTTCCTGTTAGAGCTCGCATATGAATCCATGCATGCTTATAATACAATCTAGTGGAGTCTTTTTCTGTTTGTTGGAATGATTTATGAGCTAAATAATTAACTAATTAAAAATGTGTTAAGTTATCTGCTTTGACCATTTATTAAAAATAATGATCATTTACATTTTCAAAATTGTCATTTGCTTTTCCATATTGGTGATAACAAAATTCTTCTTTAGAATCTGTTTTGAATCCATTTGTCATTCTAGAAAGTTAATCTAGCCAATTATAGCCTATGTCAAATGCAAATAAAAAACAGAGAGTCCTAAAAATGGATTTCAACTCAAGTCTTCCTAATTCGAAAATGAGACTTTACAATTATGAGACTCTACAATTTGTTAACCTGCTTTGGTTAAAGTCTTCATAATATAGGTCATAGACAGGTCTACACTGTGCCCATACATGCGAATTTAGGAAATCTCGAGTGGTGTTGCCAAGTAATGTCAAAAAGGGAAATGGGATGTGTCTTGTATCTTTTAATTGTTTGATTTAGATTAAACTGAGATTGTATGAGTCATGAGATTGTAAATCATGAGGGCTGAATGAATGTGAAAAGAATTTACTATATTTCAGTAGGGGGAGGTGGGGGGAGTCATGGAACTAAACACTATTCACTATTCACCTCTAAATTATACACCATTTACTGCTACATATAATACAAATATTAGAAAACATGTGGTGCTATTTTCAATTAATGCAGTATACAGGTGCATCTCAATAAATTAGAATGTCGTGGAAAATTGGTGGGTTTTTGTTAAATGTGAGCCAAAATCATCACAATTAAAAGAACCAAAGAGTTAAACTACTTCAGTCTGTGTGCATTGAATTTATTTAATACACGAGTTTCACAATTTGAGTTGAATTACTGAAATAAATGAACTTTTCCACGACATTCTAATTTATTGAGATGCACCTGTATGTAGGCCTAAATTAGGCATATTAGACTAAAATAGGCATATTAGTGATGTAATTTGTGCGTTCATTAGTATAGTCAAGTGTCATCAAAGTAAAACCAAAGTTAAAACCTCTGGAATTCTGTCTGATGTTAAATGATATAGTACTACACACACTGATCTATAACAGAGATATTATATAGATCACGATCAGTGACTACACACAAGCTGCTACCTACGAGGGTAGGAAGTCTATAGTCCAATGAGGATGTTAAGCGAGTCTGGGAAATATGGAAACTTGAAATAAAATGTGAACAGAAATGAGACTTGTGCTGATAATTAATGGTAATTTTAAATAATGGAATCACTAAATGAACTGTATGTCTAACAATGATGTTTGTGAGGTATTACACAAGTTTCAAATTTCAAATAAGTGGATGAAACAGACATCCGCCCCTTTCGTGGGCGGACGGGGCTGCGATAGGCTTCTCCTCACGTCAATCATCTTCATACGAAATACCCATTGGCTGCCAAGCTCCATCATCACCCGCGGAAGTTTGTAGAGAGAATCAGAGTATTGTCAGTTATTTAAAAAAATACATTTTCCGGCACGAATTCTGTCGTTCCGCGTGTTGCCTCGAGAAATGAGACAAAAAAGAAAATGAATTTTTAAAGGATGAATTTTGCGTCGAGAACAACAACGCTCGCATGAAGTGCTAGCACCTTACAGCTAATAGTATTGTGTAGCTCGTTGTTAATTTAGTTTATTTTTTATCGGTCAACTTGATAAACAGCCTAGGAAAACTATTTTAGCTGAAGCTTAGCAGCTGGCCTGCTTTTATGATAAAGTTAGTGTCAGCAGTATTTTATATTGACAGTTGTGTTTATTTTTGTTTTGATTAACGTTAGCATGCTAAGCTAGTTTGCAGCGCGAGCTGGCATTCATCATTTTGGATTTACATCTAATCAACATCACCCTTCATACATCGTCATTATAGTGTCATTTACTGTCATCTTCACACGGCAAGGACTGTATCAAAACAGGTAAAGTGATCCTCGTAGCCTTTATAACTTGTAGACAGTAGCAGAACACTGGAGGCATGCAGATCACTTGACCCTCCTCACCTGTGCGTGTTATAATGGTGAATGTTTTGACATAATGAACATAGACTGGAAGGTCACTTTCACCCCAAATTCAAAAGAAAAACGTAATAAATTATATTTTATACATTATATGCAAAAGAGGCATAGTTGCAATGACATTTGACTGTTGCATGGTAACATTAAAATAGTATAATATATATATATATATATATATATATATATATTTTTTAACTTGAAGTTAGAATGAAGTCAGCACAACAAATACATGTCTGAATACTTCATAAAATTAATAAATAATGTCATTGTTTTCTTTTTACATAATAGTGATCATGATAAATAGTCATATATTTACACACACACACACACACACACACACACACACACACACACATATATATATATATATATATACACAGAAGGCTTTAATTTAATATTATGCAATAATAATCAATTCAAATTCCATGGTCACTTCCAGTGTCACTTATTTTTTTGAAGTTAAGTTATAAACATTTTTATTTGTGTATAATTTTATGTATGTATAATTGTACATTTTTATAACTGTTAGCTGTTATTTTAACTCTTACAGTTTTTTGATAAAAAAAGAATACTTAAATTAGTTTTATATAAACTGTTTGTTATAATGGGAGTGTTTTGTAACTGTCTTTCCTTTTCTTTCCCTTTTTAAACTCAGAGGTTCATCATGCTGGGAGAGTGTGGCATGAAAGAATGGGAGCGACGAGTGCTCAGGCAGAACTCTGTCACAATTCTGCAGGACTTAGTGGTGGATGATCTGCTGATCCAGTGTCTACAACAAGATGGAATTCTTACCGAAAACATGGCAGAAACCATTATGGCATGTTAAAGTATTAGTATTAGCTTAGTATTAGTTCTATATTGGATAGATCTACATGGAATCTATGCTAAAAAATTATGTTTTATTTAGAAAACGTTGTATAATGTTGTAAAATGCTATAAAGTACTTTTTTTTTTGAATAGCCATTTCCCAATAAGTGGCAGCCTTTATTTATTTATTTAAATTTTACAGTCCTAATAGGTGTGGAAAGCCTCATAAATAATGCTTTGATTATTTTGAACCATTAGCTAATTTGAATCCTTTCAGGCTAAACCGACATCCCAGGGCAAGAGTCGTCATTTGTTGTTTCTTTTGCCTAAACGTGGCCCTCAAGCTTTTAGCAGCTTCTGTGCTGCTCTTACAGCGACAGAGCAACAGCACCTCAGCAGACTGCTCATGGACTTCACAGAGAAAGACGTGAGTTGGTGCCTTCACTTCGGAATCACACCCAGTTAGACTGACTTGACAGGTTTCTATAAGAACATAATGGGTTGCAGTGAGGGACCAGAAAAGTCTTCTTTAGCAATGACAGCACATCTGATGAGAGCCAGGGAGGCAGTGTTAACAGATGTGCTGTATTCATAGGAAAAAAAATGTTGTGCAAGGAAAATAAAGCTTATTTGTTTTCTATATATTTAAAGTTTTATACTGTTTACCAAACACTTTATATATTCTTGTCCAAAATACAATATTTTCTCAAGACAGTAAGTTGCAGGAAGAGTTGTGGGATCAGTCTTATGACCATAGAGACGTATAGAAATCACGCCACCCACAGAGGTCAGAGCTGGGTCAGTGGAGTAAACGAGAGGGAGAGAGGGTAGGACTAAACGGGAAGTATTATGCACCAGTTTACCACACCCAAACTACCCAGATTCTTAAAAAAAAACGGTCAAACAGACAAGTTCAAACTCTCCTTTCCTTTGGAATAGTGGGTTATGAACTAACTGTAAGTTTCTAGTCAGTGTAGAAAAGTGATTTTGTGTTTTTTTAAATTTTTTTTATCTTCACAGAAAAGCTTTTCAGAGCCCTCACTGTCTCGTCCAACTCAGGAATGTGTTATACCTGTGAAAAGAGCCCGGACTCATGGTGAGCACTTTAGTGTTTGTGCATAAAGCCCAAAGTATACTTCAGTTTTAAAATGAACATTTATTGAACTAAGATAAAGCAGGCTTTGTGCATACTATGCTAATGATGAGATTTATGCCATGCACACTCTATGCCAAATATCTGGTACTGTTGTACACATGGATACAGGACATCTTATCAAAGAGGATGGTCAAATAAATGACTTTATCTACTACCAGTGATTAATTCCCTGGAGGTTTGCTGTTTTGAATGGTAATTTTTTTTCTATGTGACAACAAGCTTCATGGTACCAAGAGCTGGAGCTGCTTTTCTCTGACTGGTTATTACGTTACACGTACAGGCGAATGTTCTATGTATGTCATTTTTATGCAACATTTCTAATTATAGTATAGGTTTTCCATTTAATAATTAATTGTTTCAGGTTTAGTTCAATTGCCAAACAAGCATATTTAAACATACTTGTTATAGAAGAAAGCATAATAGATAAAGGAAAATTGTTATGTGAGATGAGCCTAATATTTTTGAGCTAATGGGGTTGTTTGTGTGTGTGTGTGTGTGTGTGTGTGTTTTAGAGTCCATGGAGATGTGTTTGGATGCCGACTCTCCCGTGACCACAGCTGTTGTTCCCTGTATGCCGGAATTTTACCAGTCCCATAGATCACAGGTATAAGGACACAAACTCTATTCCTTTGCATACTCACAGACAAAAACCCATTTTATTTGCATATATTTTATGCTATGTTAACACAGTGTGTAACCTCTATGCAAATGTCTTTCCTTTCAGGCGTACCCGATGCGCTCCTGTCCGCGAGGGCTGGCCCTGGTGCTGAGTAACGTGAGGTTTGACTCCGCTAACACTGATTTAGATGTCCGGAGGGGAGGAGAGGTGGATGAGGAGACGCTGAGGAGACTCTTTATGGAGCTGGATTTCACAGTCAGCCTGCACAAAGACCTAACGGCGGAGGCGAGTTAGACATGCTGCAGAGTCAGACTGCCCTGCAAAGCAAAGTCAATTATTAAGTTTTTGATTTGTGTTTTTCAGGCAATGCGCAGGTGCCTAGAACAGTTTGCCCAGCGGCAGGAGCATGCAGAGTATGACTGCACTGTTGTGTGTTTACTGTCACATGGAGTTGAGGGATCTGTCTACGGCACTGATGGACAGCTGCTGGAGGTGCACTTGATTTTAATACCACTAGTGATAGAATAAAAATATCCATTTCACATTTTTTTAATCGATACTGATATGGATTCTTAAATCGTAAGAGAAAGCTTTTAGTCTATGCTGTTTTCTGTTGATGCATGAACTTCACTAAACATTATTTGTAGCTCACCTGCCATCCAATAAGCTTTGTACTTTGTTACTTTTAATATGAAATAGTATCATATTTCAAATTTTCATTATTATAGAAATTCACATTTGATCATGATATACAAACAATAAATGTGGTTTTGATGCTTTTTAATGTAGCGTAACAGATCGCTGTAACTGATCATCTTTTCCTATTTACTGTTAGTCATGGCACGAAATAAACATGAATGAACATCAGAATGTATGTTGAAAGAAACTGTACAACTCACTGAAATCAATGTATCATTTTCATAATTGCTTAGTCAGTGTTTCAAACATGGAAAGACATCTGACAGCTTGTAAACAATGTCACAACATTACATTTATCTCAGGAAAATCATTCAATGTCCATAAACTGCATAATCGGCTAGAAAAAAATAACTAGACAAGAGCATTATCCTAAATATATGCATTATATTACATATTTATTATATTTTTTACTTAACCTGTTGTCTTGTTTAATTTATATTTGAATAAATCTATCATAAAAACAAGTTTTTATTACAGCCACCGTTTAAATGTTTATATTTCAACGACAAATTCTGTTATTTAAAAGTTGACATAAGAACTGTTATGTGTACTTTAAATGCGTGTACAATTGGTTGATTATTAAATACAATAAATTAATTGATTATCAAATAAAATGAATTTTTGATTTCAGTTTTCGTCTTAATTAAAAGTTATATTTAGATTTTGTTTTGTAAAAAAAAGAAAAGAAAAAGTGCAATAATGGTAGTACAATTATACAAAAAAACTATTTTTAATTAAGTTAAAAAAAATCTTTTTCGGTTTTTGAGTTACTGGTTTCAGCTAAGGTTATTTATTTTCATGCATCACTATTTATTCTTAGGTATACACACAGTCATACGTTCATCAATATGTGAGTTCCTTTTGAAGTAAATTTATTACCTTGTAAAAGATTCCTTTACATATCAGAGTTTCAAATGTCTCTCTCTGTCTCTCAGTTGGACTGGGTGTTTGAGGTTTTTGATAACGCCCGCTGCCCTCTGCTCCAGAATAAGCCAAAGATGTTCTTCATTCAGGCTTGTCGAGGAGGTGAGTTACTGTTGATTAACCAAGCACATAACAAAATTACTAAAACTAAAACAAAACTACTAAAATTAAAAATTAAACTTCAAAAATTGAAAGTAACACTATATACTATAATATATAATTAATTCTAAAATAACACTGGACTGACTTTCTCCTCATTTCTCCATTTTAAAAATAATTTTATTTAAAGACTCCTGTGTTTGAAATTAATTTTGTATACAAATAGAAACTGTAAAGTAATGTACGAATATCTTTCCAAACTATTTTTATTTATTTTTTGTTAATGGTCATGGTTTTGACTGGTAATGTATTTTTTATAAAATATTAAGTAAGTAAAAAGAAAAATACTAAAAAAAAAAAA